CCCCAAAACCCCAAAACCCCAAAACCCCAAAACCCCAAAACCCCAAAACCCCTTTATGCTCATTGGAAGTTGAAATTTCTAAATTTGATATCCCTCACTAGCATAGTCTTAATTTAAGACCATCATAGACTTCTTAACATTATACATTTTTTTAGCAATTTTTTTCTGGAGTCTGCAAACTAGGCTCAATTTCGAGCTCTGGTTGATTTCGCTGTAGTACAATTTCAAGCATTGAGATTTTAGAGAAGGCTCTAAGCAGTCACTTTTTAGCTCATAATTATTTCAAAAGTCTGAACACCCATATGTTTATATTAGAAGCGGATACTTTTTATCAGTTATTAAAATCTATCGAGGAAGTTGAGTCTCCTGGCTGGGCTGGTTTATTATCAGAGCCAAATTCAATAAGATTTAGACTCTAATCAGTATAGGGTTGCCCTTCTTTGAAAGAACGGTCTGATCATTTTTATATGCTATCGATATTCTGGGCTCTTCATTAAGGTTGCAAACCGCTCTAATTTATGCAAGTGAGCCTTCACTTTTCTCTGGAACATTTGTCTTTGCTCACCGAAGACTAGGCTGACCGCGTTCTCCAAGCTGATGAAATATAATAGCACAGCAAAGAACTCCCTGTATGGATGCATCAACCTGAACTTCTTTTCTGAGTAGAAATGCAGCAGCTTGTTTATCAAGTCTTTGAGTTGGAAGTCTTCTTGTGGAATCCTTCCAAGTCTGCCTTTTGAGTTGACAATACAGTCAAAGATTATGCAGACTCTTTCAAGATAAGCTTCAGGAAACCTAGCCTGGCAGTACTCTCTAAGTCTTTGTGGGTAATTTTGCTTTGACTGATGAGAGCCAGAAGCATCGGAGAAGTACTTGCGAAGCCTTCTGAACACAGCTTTAAACACTATATCTTTGCGTGTGTTATATTTGAATCGAGTCTGATTCATAGCATAATTTTTAATCTCGGAGTCTCTTCTTAGAAATTCAGGCTTGGACCTTAATCTGGAGCTCGAAATATCTGCAGAGGAGCTCTCGGTTGGTGCTTTCTCTTCCTCGATAGGCTTCTTCTAAGTATATTGTAATTTTTAATTTATTTTCTGGAGTTCCAAAAATTCATAATTGATATAGTCCTACATTTTAGTTGGCATATTTCCTAATCAAACTCAATAAGTTTGAATCAACTCTTTCATTAAAGCCTCATACTATTTCTGGGCAAATATCTCCGAGCTCAATCCTTTGGTGAAGATCATGAACTCTATCTATATAAAAATTAGCTTTGATAAAGAAGGGGAACTTAGGACAAATATCAAGACATTTGCAGTTGAATTCAAGCAAAAGGGAATCATTAGCCTACTGAAAATAATTAGCGTTGTTTGCTTTTATTGCTAACCAGGAGAGTCAGAAATTGGCCAGCTCAAAAGACATCAAATATAATTTTATGCCAAAGAAAGAAGGATTCCTTATGCATCCTTAGAACTAAAGTGTTCTTTCATATCTTCTGAGGAAGTATTCTGTCAATTTCAAGATGAAATGTTTAAAGTGGGGTTTAGGGTTTTTGGGGTTTTGGGGTTTTGGGGTTTTGGGG